GTTATGGTCGTTTAATTCGAACAGAAAATACAATCTGAAACTCTAATCTCTTAAAAATTAATCACACGTTGACGTCTTTTGTCACTTTATTCGTCAAACAATTTGCGTCAGCTCATACTCAAGTCTAATTTCGAATAGAGCCTATACTATAAATACTTTAGACACTTTACAGATGGAAATTTCCTATAAATCCGCAAGTACGCACTCGTCACGATGTTTTTCGCGAGCAATTATCATCGTGGTCCACGCGTTTTATCGATCCCGAAAGGAAGTTTCTAGAGGTAGCCACAGCCTAGCTAGAGGCAGTGCTATCGTAATCATCGCGTAGCCATGCCGCTCTTTTTCCTCTCTCCCGGGGATTTTTTCTTTTTTTTTTTTTTTTTCCACAGAGCTCGACACGGCATTCTTTCCGGTCGTTTCCTAGTTGCTCGCAGCTGATAGGCAGCCAGAGATAGCGAGGCTCGTGCGAAGGCACCGGTAACAGCCAGCTGAGTGGCGCCAGCCATCAGCTGTTGGTGACTCACGCGAGAGCGCCGCGCCGACATAACACACAACCGCACAATCCGCGTGTTCCTCTCTCGCGGCTCCGCTCACTAACACACACTCACACACACAAAAACACACACACACACACACACGCTGTGCGCATGCGCGAGAGACGACTACCATCGCTGCACACACGCGCGCGCGCGCGAAATGCAGACGTGGCAACGCTCGAATTCGAATTCCAACAATCAGACGCGTGTTGGTAGCAATATGGGACTTGAATTCTCATTGGCATCGAGGTTTAGGAGACTCGACGCTGGTGGAATCGTACTGGCGAAATTCGCGGAGCATTTGTTAAAATTTAACGAGTTTGTGATTGTACTGGTGGCACCGTTTGTGAAAAATTGATTTGTCGAACGGACGAATTGGAAAAGAAATGGAAACGTTGGGAAAGGTGTGGAGATACTTTGGTCGTACGTAGTTAGCGTTCACGTGGCGCTAGTGTAGCGCCAGCGTCGTCGCTACAGCGTTGAATTCCAGGGGCATAGTTTGAAAGTACCATTTGCTTTCAGTAGTCGTCGAAGAACGAGCAATCATCGGAATCAACGATGTTCTAAATGTTGAGTCTATCGCTACACGAAAGAAAGAAGATGTAAATGCTTCGTGTTCAACTGAAACAGTGGCACGTGATTGATAATAAAAGGAAAATTGCACTAACAAGGAAAAGGAATGATTCATGTGTTACGTGCGATGCGTGTGTCGTTCGAAGAATCTTCTCTAGCATAAGCAAATCAGAAGCTGGTCGTTTTTTTTTATGTCTAAACGAGTTACATTGATAATCTAACATATATTCGCTATTAGTAATCGCATGATTTATGGGAACACGTCATTTATTGAAGAAACGTGTGTTTCTCGAGATACGAACGAATTGAGTTGGAGCACATGTCAGAAATTCTGATCCAGTGTCTTAACTAACACACGGTGTTGCGTGACGACCAAGTAATTCACGAACTCGAACAATATCCAATTTAAACTTTCAGATTTGCTCTTGCGATGGGATTTCTCATCGTACAGTTTCTGGAATTCTCGTCAAATGAGCTGGTAGACACTCTCCGTTTCCTCGAGTACGCGAGTTTGAAAAGCTTCTAATGCTCTATCTATTTTATTGTCGCCGGTGCTATCTGATACGATAACACCTGTTCCACGAACACGCGCCGCACCGATAAAAAGTTTCACAGGAAATATCTATCACCGATTCGAAAGCAGACCTGACACTTGACGAGGAATCTCGAAAACTCTCCAATTCTTGCGTTCGAACTGACATTCTTTTCCTACTTGCACCACGCAACATCGTAAACCGTCAGTACGTCAGAATGTTGGCGTATCTCTTGTTAGAACGCATCGGTGGAAAGGATATCCGACCACGAGACGAAGAGTTTACGACCGGGTGCAAAGGCAGCAGATATATTCGCTCGGGTGGGGATCGTCAGTTACCCCCCCGGCCGAAAATCGTGTTTACTCCTTTTGAAAGGCCGGCGTATGTACATATATGCGCGCGCTCGTGTGTCTCTACGTGTGTATATACAAAGGTGCGTGATGAAAAGGAAGGTGTAGCCACCTACTTAGTCGACCTACTTCTACGGGACTGATCCGAGTGAACTCAGCGGGTATCCGACGAACGAGCTGACGTCACAGCAGCCAACCATCCAGCCAGTAAGCCGTCGGCGTACCAGCTGATCTAATGTAACCACTCGATGGGAGAATGCCATGTGGAATTCTGCTACGTGGACCACGTGTTATTATTGCATATCCTGCAGGAAGTACGATGACTTCATCAGCCGTTCATTCATTCATCAGCTCCTCTACGAGCTCTCGGAATTCTTTTATCTTCCCCCAATTTTTTTTTTCCCCGTGCTTCGCGTTCCCGTTGGAAATCTCTCGATTTCTTCTTTCTCTCGTGTCTTCCACAGCATCCAGCATTTAAATTTTCAATTACTTCCACAGTTGGGATTTTTTGGTTCCTCGTCTTTTTGCATATAAATGTCCCTTTAACGAGAGAAGTATTATTTTTAAAACACTCCCGAGCCATTTTTCTCTTACTCGTTTCGCAACTCGTGGTCTGGCGCAATTCTTCTCCACCTTTCAGCTTCAATTTTAGCGTGCGCTCCGATTGAACTTTAAACGTTTCTGGCTTTGGAGCATAAATTTGATTAGCGGATCGATAGCAGCAACGTCACGACACCAGACGCCGTTCCGATTAAAAATATCCGAAATGTGACGTAACGTTGCGTAACGTAACCGAAACGTGAAAAAAAAAGCCGATCTGGAGATTTTCAGAAAATTGAAAACCAACCGCGGTTCCCTTCTGCGCGTGTAATATATACATACGTATGGTTACATCCTGGTGCTATTATCGGCACGCGCTGAACCAATGTTTCAGAGAGCAGGGCACAGGGTCACGGTCTTTCCCTGCTGACTCATCTCACATCCGCCATCCACCATCTTTTCCCTCTTTTCTCTGTCTCCCTATCGTGTCTCCGCCGCGTCTCCTCGTGTAATTTCACCAGATGTTTCCTAACAGCGGACGCGCCACCCATTTCCCGCCTCTCTTTTCTTTTCTCTTCGCTCTCACCGCCGCCGAAAAGAAACCTCTTCTCATCTTCTTCGCGTTCTAAACTATTCATTACGCCTGCTCCTCCGCGTAATGGCGCGGCCGTTTTCTTCAACTGTTAACCTTTCGCGAGAAAGAGAGAGAGAGTGAGAGTGAGAGTGAGAGTGAGAGTGAGAGACACGTACCTTCCCTGTCCTTGGAAATTAACCTCTTGCGCTGGAATGACGTGCCACGCGCGTCGAGAATTTTTTTGTCCCAAATTGCAACATTTTCTCAGTTTTAAATACATTTTAATATAATCCCAGGTAAAAACAAACGATAAGTTTATTACTTCTTAGTAATTTCTGTCCATGGTGACATCATACCGACGAGTTGAAAGGGAAAAGAAAACGACAAATTATTGTATTAGGATTCGGTCACTCGTTATGGTCCGCGAATCAATTGCCAGACGCAACTTTAAATTTTAGAAGCGAGGTTCTTTCCGTGGACTAATCACTGGTAATTGCGATTGATAAAAATCTTAAAATGATGAACGTTCAGTTCCGCGAAACTTATAGTAATCGAATAACAAATAAGAGATTGGGAAACAGAGATGAAACAAATTTCAAGAGAGATGTAAATTTGAACAAAAGTCAAGTCGACTCGGTTTGGTCGTCGCCTGACCCAGGGACAAAGTATAAAAGCGTTGCAGCGGGGCGTACGATTGCAGACCCTCGAAGAACATTTTCGCGCAGAGTCCCATTTCGGCAAAGAGATAGCCGAAAATCAAAGAGACGTGATGGAAGAGGACACTGACGCACAGCTTGCTTGTTCGCCGTGGTATCATTTTCTGCGCTCGTCCGTGTTTCGTCGAGTCTCTCGCGGCGGTTCTGAATATTTGATTTACATGCAGATACCAAAGAGGAGGGGGGAGACGAATGCGCAGACGGAAATAAAAAAAAAAAAAAAAAAAAAAAAAAAAAAAAAAATAAAAAAAAAAAGGAAAGAAGGAAAAAAAGAAACGGTTGTTCGTCTGGATCCAAGGGCTTTTAAGGAAATTGAAAGCGGTCGTCGGGGCTGGTTTGTTTCGCGGGATGTGGCGTAGCAGCTCTCGCGAGTTATCGACAGTTAAACTCGCGCGGTCAATGAAGCGAGACATCATTGTCGTTTCTGTGGGCTACACAGTATCAAAGGCTGTAGCTATATCTAGACGGCACGCAATGCCACGCCGCGTGAAATTATTCGTACACCACCCTCGCTTTCTGAACGCTGTTTTTTTTATCACAGCCGGCGATACAGATTTTCCACGCACGCGACGTCTGTTTCAATGTCAACTTACGTATTTTTTTCTTTTTTTCTTTTTTTTTTTCTTTCTTTCAACGCCCAGCTGGATTAAAGCGCTCGCTTCTCTCGTCCTTTTTAAATGTCTCTCGGGGGCGATATACTATCTGCGCCTGGAGTTCTCATTGTTGCCTACTTCTCAAAATTACATTGAAAGTAAACACAAGTGACGTTTATCGAAAGCGTAAATCAATTTTATCAAATCGTAGCAAAGCTAGGTTGAACATTAAGTTAGCGAAAAATGAACCAGCGGATTCTATGAACAATGTGGGCCGGAAGTCTCTTCCCATCTATTTTTTTTTCAAATAAAGAGTCAAAATATGAGGAAATTAATTTTGAATTAAATCTACGTTCAAACGTGACTTTCTCGTCGTGTTTTCAAACTTATTTCTTTCAAATGTTGACCGCCAGAGCGCTCGCAAATTTATTTATTTATTTCGGTAGGCAAGTGATTTTTGTAACCACCCTGTATAAAATATTCGTAAAAATTACCTAGATCGGTCTAATCTAGTTTCATAAAATTGACAAGACACGTGTGATTGGTTAGCAATAAAACACGGGATTTCTGATGTGTTGACAGAAGCATTGGAACGGTAGAGGAGGGCTCGGTGACCACGAGCGTGACGGTCGCCGAGGTCGCTGATTCGCAGGAGCAACAGCAACAGCAATCGAAGAGCAACGGCGCGGTATCCCGCCGTGTTGCTGGTCAGAACGTTGCGCTGAGCAACGGGAACGGTACCAGCAACGTCGGCCGCGTCACACCGCGAAGCCATATGGAGCAGGAGAAGCGTATGCGGCGAGAAATCGCCAACAGCAATGAACGACGTCGGATGCAGAGCATTAACGCCGGTTTCCAATCGCTGAGGACGTTGCTGCCGCACCACGAGGGCGAGAAGCTGTCCAAGGTGAGTCTCTTCCTCAACTTCCTTCTGTTCTACTACCACTCTCGCGATTATTCGCAGATTTTTCACGCTGCGATTTCTGCGCTGTTCGGAATAATTGGAGAATCGTTCCTTGCGCCAGTTTCTTTTCTTTTCTTTTCTTTTCTTTTTTTTAAAGAGATTTTTAAGAGGTACTATTTTTGTATACTTAATTGTATGAGTAGTTATCATAGTGCTTATTGGGATGTATGACAATTTGGAATGTTGGGAAAAATAAGAGAGCGAAAAAGAATGGTAGAGAGAAGTGTTGGTTGAGCTGCAAGTTCAAATATTAGTTAAAATATTATCAACGATATAGTAACGGTAGTAGTAGTTTTTTTTTTTTTTTTTTTTTTTTTTGTTTTTTTTTTGTTACCAGTCGCTTCGTTCACGGCTTTCTAATTATTTTGAGCGGTGTGTCTAATTAAACGGAGTCATCCTTGTACAAAGTACCATCATTTTCACGCTTGGAATCCGACGTTGAACTTTCACGAGAAAATTTGGCATGAACTCGGGAGCTATATAGTGATGTGTATTTTTTTTTTAAGAAAAGGAACGAATTTAGAATATTTTCGTAGGATTTCGATTTTCGAAGAAGATCGATCGTTGAACGAACGTGTTTCTTTCATCACTCCGTAGTTCCAAACTCATTGTCTCATCGAAAGCGGCGTAACTGACTTCCTACCAATAAGTTATCTGTGCTGGAGGAAGAGTCATCCACCCCCCTTTTTTTTTTAGTTCACCTCATCAAGTCTTTGAATTCGTAGTGCGTTTGACATTCGAGGGCTAGCTTCCTTCCTTTTAGGTGTAGTGATACTTTATATAATAGACGATAGCGCGTTGCATCGTAGAATGAATTCAAAGGGTTGATCCCCTCCAACCGAACGTAGTCAATAGATAGCTAGTCGTCATTTGCACGTAGAGAAATATCAAGATGAAGACCATAGAGAAAAATTGCGAGTCACCAATCCTCACTAATTATTCATGGTCTTTCTTTTTGGACTTGATTTTCTCATTTCTAACTACCATTAAAGTCGGAGAGAAATAAAGAAAGTTGGTCATATTTTTTTTTCTATGGTTTCCATTCACGAGTTGTCTCTCTCTCTCTCTCTCTCTCTCTTTTTTTTTCTTTCGCTCATTTAGAGTAACGTTTGATTTCGCAAATGAATATCGATTGAAATCAGTGCAAAATGTGCAAGGCGTACAAAAAGTTATTCTTATGCGGCACGTTTTGCACGTGATCGAACGTTACATGTGTATGTGTGTGGCAATGGCCGTATTGTCGCACGAGTGGTGTACGTGGTGTACGATTTGTTCAATAGTACCATTCTGCGACACTTCATTCATCCGATTCACTTTTCCATTCAATCTGTTCTTCAGATGAACAATCCTTTCACCATCTTTGCTGCACTCGAACTATCCGCTCACGTCGCCAATGTGATGCAATATAAATTCAAATCATTTCCCGCGAAGTTCCAAAAAGATATACAAATATGCAGAAGTGTGTAAAATGCATCCAATACTGTAGTTGAAAAACAAATTTTTATCTACCTCGTTCGGTTCTTTAATTCTACGGTCATTTAGTTCGTTCAACCAGGCATCAGGTGTAAACAGAACATTCACGTGCTAAAGCACATTGAAAGAGTAGGTAGTTAATTATGCCATTTCATAGAATGTATAAAAAATTGAAGCCTCTGTTCTCCGTTCCATTTAAATGCATATGTTTGTAGTTCGACTCGTTGAACGAGCTATCAACGGTGTATTATTATACGAGATCCCTCCTAAGCATAATTTGTCATAATTATAATTTATTCTTAAATAAAACAGCGATAATAATGCAATTGGAAATCAGTCAGTTCTGCTGTTCGAACTGTGTCATTAATATGGTCGTGACACGACAGGATGTCTCGTTCCTGCTAAGGTTAACACGTGGACCGGAAGTGGTCGCTCGTTTTCTCTTGGGCGAAGCGGATTCGCCAATGAAGTTAAATCGGTCCCGTTGGCGAAATATTACGCAACGATCGTGCGGCGGCGAGCTTTATACGAATTGTCGCCTAGACGCGTTGTTCCGGCTAATTTTAGCACGTGAAAGTCGTCGTCCGATCCCACGCTGTTAAACTAGACACGCTCTGTGTGTCCGGCATACTCTCTCGTGTATGCACGCCTAGTCACTGTCGGTGGCTTTAATCGGTCGTGTCTCGTCCGTGCTCCAACACTCTGTGACACTGACCGCTTTAGTTTGCCCTTATACGGTTGCTTCTCTCTCTCTCTCTCTCTCTCTCTCTCTCTCTCTCTCTCTCTCTCTCTCTATGTGACGCGACGTTGCGAACATCAGCTGACGCGCCCGTTATCATTTAATTGAAGACACCCGGGTGAACTCGGCGCTCCTGGTTAACCCCACGGCGACACTCGTTCCAATTTTCAAACCTCTGGCGAACCGGCGACCGTTCGAACCAACGGATCTTACCGAACTTTCCTTCTTCTTACCCCGGCTCGAGCCAAAGTTTCGAAAGTTTCGAGCCAGCGGGAACTTTCGACTGTTCAAACTTTTCGAATCGTCTCTCTCTAATTTTCGTCTCCGGTTTTCACAGACCAAGTATCATTCTGCAATCGAAGCTGCAAAGCTGAGAATGATGACTGTTCTCTGTTTCGAGGCACGTTTCGCCGGAGGAAACGTCAAAAATTCTTGGTCTTCGACGAAAAATAAAGCTCGTGCTTTGTCTTAACGCGTATCTGATATCTTAACGAGCTTAATGAAACGATCCTCGGCGCGGTTAATCCGCGAGGCGATCTTACCGGCGAAATCTGCAATTGCGTAAATCTCGCGTTTATCTGAGAGCAATTTGCTAACTCGTTGCCGGTTGGTTACGTGATACGCGGACGATATCTGAATGCCGACGCGTGTAATATGTACACGTTATATATACGCGGATATACCCACGCGTTTCGCATACGTGCAGAAAATCAGCTGTTAATTCACAGCGGTTGCCGCGAGTCACGCGGCACCACGAGGTTTTTGTCCCGATTGGCACAGGCATGCGCGTTTCCTGCCCCCCCGCGCTTTTGATTATCTCTTATCGTTTGTTGTTTCTCGCCAGACCGAAAATAGACTTTGGAAATTTGTATAATTGCCGCGCCTGATAAAGAAACTCTTTTCTTTTCGTTTCTTTTCTTTTTTTTTTTTTTTCTGTTCTGAACTTTGGTTCGCTGAAAATCTAGTAATTTCAATATTTTAAAAGTAAAAGCTCGCTATGAAACTCTCTCAAAGATAACTCATAACGATACGAACATCGTTACAAAATACTCTTTAAAATGAGTCGTGAAAATTGTCGACTTTGCTTGTATATTTATGTAATTTTGTTTTAATGAAATCACCAAATTTGCAATACTTTAAACAAGTGAAAACCTTTTTTTTGGTTTTCACGCATATTGTAGACTATGTACTTGCACGTAACATTCCTGGCCCGTGTGTGTGTGTGTGTGTGTGTGTGTGTCTGTGTATGCGAATGCGCGCGTACTTTCGCAATGCGATATTTCGCGAACCAGTCCTCGGGGCCACATGGTTCAATTCCCACGCATTTCTCTTAAGGAGATCGCTCCGTTCCTTTTGTTCCTTTACTCTTTCCCTTTCTTTTCGCCGTTTGCTCTTCCTCTCCACGTCTCTCCTTCCCTCTCTCTCTCTCTCTCTCTCTCTCTCTCTCTCTTTTTTTCATCCTTTTTATCCTCTTCCTTGTATTCGGAGGCCTCGCTTGCCTCCATCTTTTCTTCTTTCTCCCGCTCCGCGCGACGAAGGCCAAGCTTGGCCGACGAATTTTACTGAAACCCTGGCCCACTAACAGCCACACGTTGTACACGGTGTTTCACAAGCAGAACACGCGTCCACACTTTGCTCGATTTTTGCTCGATAATATTTTTTCGTATCGTTGGTGAGTGAATCCTACGCTGTCATTTTCTTGGAATTGAGAGATTAAATTGTTTGTTGGAAATGTTGTCAATTGTCAGTCTTTTACTTTCGCCACTTCTTTTTTTTTTAAATACTACAATTTTATGTACGCATTAATCTTTATCATTGATTTTGTTTTTATTTTATTTTATTTCATTTTATTTTACTTTATTTTATTTTTGAAAATAAACCGCTTTATTATATGACAGCGTTTCGAATTTTCTCGATGCTTTTCTATTCTTGCAACCAATCTTTGCGAGAGATGAGCAAGCGTGCACGTACTTTTGAACGGTAGTGTATCGTGATTCGGCTCCCTTTTGCCATTGGGAATATTAACGAGACCGATGTCCAAATACGAACTCATCCTGGTGCCTTTTTTCTTTCTTTCTTATCAACCCGGAACTTTTTGCTCGTTACACGCGACAACGCGACTCTTATTGTTAGAGAGCTCGTTTGATTTTTCTTTCCTGTCAACCGTTTGTTTGCAACAAACGTGTATTTAACAGCATGAAACAGCCGTTTGAGACGCACAATAAATACTTGATGGTCCCATTGAGTGCCGAGACTTATTGATATAATAAACAATCGTTTGTGATCTTTCGTGTATTAAATATCTTGCAACTTCTCCGTATATTTTCAAATTTGATCAGCTCTGACAGCGAGACCTCGTTCCGTCTCTTTGGCTTAGCAAGTGAATTTCGTTTGGCGAAAATGAAAATAGTTTCGCGAGTGAGAAATTTCCTGGAAGTTTCTCATTTTCGGTGGGATAGGGATGAAGAAAGGAAGAGACCGGTGACACAGGGGCGTAATCGCGTTGTCTGAAGGAGCGTTGTCGCGCCTTTTGTAGCGGTACCGGCAGTACAGCCGCTCTTTGGAAACGAAGAAATAAAAAGAAGGAGCGCAAATGAGCACAGACGCCTCGACCCATTTTCATTTAGCGCTCGCCAGACAAAAATAAAAATAAACCGCTTCTCTCTCTCTCTCTCTCTCTCTCTCTCTCTCTCTTTTTCCCCCTCTCGTTCTCGTTCTCTCTGTTCGTCAACCTTTTAAACGAAACTCGCGTCGCGGTTGTGTGTGCGTGCGTGGGCCGGGGTTGTTTCGTACGCATAATCGTGCTTTTGTGCGCCGCGAGATCGATCTCGCGTGTAACACGGCCCTCCCGACCATATTTACATTGAAACTGCCTAATTAATGCCCGCTAACCAATCGTTTTCCGCCACCAGGCTTCTTCCTTTTCACGCTTACTGATAAGTTCTTCCTTTCCAGAGGATTTTCTGATTTCTGCTTCTCCTTGCGGTAGAATCAAACTGATATAGTTGGCAGTATGTTGTTACAATGACCATTAAAATTATTACAACGATCAGGGAATGAAATTGGTAAAGTTGGTAATATACTGTTGGAAATATCGATTGATATAAACGAATAATCAGAGTATACTTCCTACAATGACCATTAAAATTATTACGACGATCAGAGAATCAAACTAATAAAGTTGGTAATATATTGTTGGAAATATCGGTTGATATAAACGAATAATCAGAATATACTTCCTGTAATGACCATTAAAATTATTACGACGATCAGAGAATCAAATTGGTAAAATTGATAATATACTGTTGGAAATATCGATTGATATAAACGAATAATCAGAGTACACTTCCTACAATAACCATTAAAATTATTACGATCAGAGAATTGTTTGTTGCGAGTAATTAAATTCTAGGCTTCGAAATATTCTTGGCAATGAATTAAAATCGTCGATTAATTTCGTTGGTTCTTTGGACGTTTATTCTGAATTTGTAGCTTTCGTGTTCCCCTAAGCAGCTTGGTAAATTTCGCAAATTTCTACGAAGAATTATGCGAGTAATTTCGGCGTGCGAATCTTGAAGAAAATGCGCGCGAGTGCAGACGAGAGAGCGTATACGCTGGCCCCACGTATGTACTTCCCGACTTCGTTGGCTGATTTTGCAACGGCGGTTCATTCGGTTCGCGAGTCATCCTTTCGTTGAAAATCTATCCTCCGTGTCGAATGACACGCTTCGTTTCGCGGCGTGTACAGGGTGTTTCGGAAAAACGTAAGAAAGAAAAAGGAAGATCGCGGTTAATGGAGATGGAAATCGTTCTTGGCACACGGACGGATTCGTTTTCAGTTTTGCGAGTAACTCGTTCACTTTCGTCTGTTTTGCGTTTCAATTCTATTTTAATCAATTACATTTGGATACCATGAATCCCCCCCCAATGGCTACTTTCGAGCAACAGCGAAGAGTTTACCATTGGCCCAAAATTTAAATATATAAACTTTCAATAAAACAAACGCAATCGGATTCAGTTACAAAAATTTTCTATACTTTTCATCAGTCATCGAAATTTTTCAAAATCGCGCCGTTACAAGCTTAATTTACACAGTATCGTAACATAGGATAATTCGCACAGTATCGCACAATAAGATAATTTCCATGAGATTGGAAAATCTCATTGGGTTCCGAGCGAGTGGTCTCGCGTTCCGGGTAGAAAAAAAAATCAGAGCGGCGATTTTCAAGTTGCTCGAAGAGAAGAAAGAGAGAGAGAGAGAGAGAAACTCTCCTCCTGGCCAATTGGAGATCGGTTTGGCGTGTAGGCTGGTTGGCTGTTGAACGCGAAGCTAAAATGTATGGGCCCAAGAGCATCTGGGTCAGTTTACTCCTCTCCGCGCGGTGCCCCTTCCCCATCGGGGGCTCGGGCCCTGTGTTCGTCCCTTTGTCTCGAGCCTTCCCTACGGGTCCCTCTTTTCTGGTTAAGCCGACCGACAAAGGTCTTGCCATCGGGTATATACCTGCCGCGCCGCGCCGCGCCGATACAGCCGTTGCTTTCTACAAGGTGTCCCGAGACCACGGTGAGGCCCAGGAGAAGAGAAAGTTGCACGGCGGCGCGGGATATACCCACGATGGCGTGGCTCAGACCGCGGTACACCTACCCGCCTCTTCAGCTTCACGGATTTATTTTCTCTCGTCTTGGGATTGAGTTTCGTTTCGCAGTTTCCGATTACTAGGCTGCGGATGATTTATGCAATTTTATATTTCACGTGTTAACGCGACCGAAGAAATATGGAAGCGTGAAGCGCCGACCGTGTGTGCACGTACATATGTACGTGCTTGTAGTTTATTGACTCGCGACGTGGCTTGCAGCTCCTCTTTTCTTTTTTATTTATATTGTAAAGCTCCGTATTTGAGTGATGAATTAAATTTCGAACGGGGGAATGAGTTTTAATTCGGAGCAACGATGGTGTTTTTTTTTTTTTTTTTTTTTTTTTGAATTGAATTAAATTTATCGTTGAAATCTTCGTGTACGTAATAGATTAGATACAGATACGCGACGCACGATCGTCCCTGTAATATCTTTCGTGGAATAATATTGAAGTATTGTTGAACTTGACGCAACTGAACAGCTGAACGGTCGAAATCCGAATCGTTTCGTCAAACTGAGTAGATTACTCAGTCACTCGACCACTTTGCCACGTCGAGGGAATATTCTTGGCTCGTTGGAATCATTTATTCAACTCTTTTCCATTGGTCCCAAGGAGGAACTCCGAAGGAAACGATACGAAATTTCCTGCTCGATTGTTATTTATAATCTTGACCTCGAAACTTCTTCTCTGAACACTCAGTTAGCACTCTCCGGTTAACTAGTTCAATTTCAACACATTATTAGCGCCGACAGTTTCGTCTTTCTCTCTTGAAATACCCCATATTTTTTGAAATTCAAAACAATGCGCGAATAATTGAAATCGCACGCTTCCTGTATAGTTCTTTTGTTTCCCAATTCGGAATTGCAATTTAGTCACAAACTTCACAAGTGATAATGAATAATAATAATAATTCGAAGTCGAAAGGAAATTTGATTTTATTTTTACCTGCAGTTCATCGATCATTTATCGAGGAGTATATGATTTAAAATTTCGTGATTATTCCAGTCAGGCGTGATTATGTTGGATGACCAATCCGGACAATATTGAATCTATGCAAATACTGACAATGAGCTAGCAACGGTTCACATAAAAGTGGACTGTGAACAGTTAGTCGTAAAGGAAAGATGCAATAGTTGGTCATCTATGTTCCTTCCCCTTTCACTTGAAGATAATAATCAAATATATATAAGAACATGCTTTAGAGACATTCGAGATCATAAAACATTCTAAATCATTCTACATCATATTCAAGAGCATTAAACATTCTAAATCATTCTACATCATATTCTAGAGCATTAAACATTCTAGATAATTCTACATCGTATTCAAGAGCATTAGACATTCATGATATTCTAAGACATTCTAAATCATTGTAAATCATTCTATATCGTTTCTATTTCATACACGACCACGACTGTAAGGGAATAAACTCTTTTAAATTATAAGCGTGTTGACTCCATTACACGGAATCCAACAATTACATTGAATGAAATTAGAACAACAGTTTCGTAGAAATTTTTTAATTTAATAAAAATTCCAGAAAAATGATGAAATAAAAATGGAATCTGTTTAAAAAAAGTCAAGTGCAAAGGAACACTTTCTATACAACATGACAGCTACTTGGTTGACACTAAGAGTTCTATTGGAATTTTTAATTGTATCAAATTTCAAGTAATCTCGACTATTCGGTGGATATCCTTAATTTGTTTTGTACATACTCTCGGCTGAATAAATGGCATTTACGACTAGCATGGCACTGCTCGAAAGTAATATCGCCAATATAAATTATAATTTAATGAACCATAATATCGTTAATGTTAATAATAAAATCATCAAGAAAAAAGGGGTTGAGATGAAGAAAAAAACACACACAAAAACAAAAAAGTCATAAAGTTTCGAAGTGTTAGATTAATTCGACCAATTAATTAAAAAAATTAAAAAAAGAAAGAACTTTTTTGAGAGATGGGTGGGAGTTTATGGGAGGAGGGGGTACTCGCAAATGGAAAGCCTGATCAAAGGGTTGGAAAAAAAGATTGGGAACCTTTGGAATTGGCCTGGAAAATGACTAAAGCGGGCGAGAACTTGGAGCAGGAGTGAAAATATGTTCGGCGACAGGTGTTGGGACGGTTTCGCGGGCGAATGTGCGTACACGCGGCGAAGACGAGTCGGTCGAGGCATGGAGGAGGTGACGTGTCGAAGAGAGGGCAGTAACGGTATAATTAAGTCATCCGCAGAAATAAATTAACGCCGTGATTGCATTATAATCCACGGCTCTCGAGTGTATATACCTCCGGCCTTGCAGTTTAGAAGCGTGTCGTTGGTTGGAGTATGCACGCGCTTCGTCACCTAGGAATGCAGGAGGAAACCCGAAGCCGCAGTCTCGTATAACGGCCAGCGTTATAGCTTCAGCGACCGGTGCGCGGTGTGTGCAGAAATATACGCAGCACGCTTTCCTCGCCTTCGTCTACTGCACGCGAAATATAACAATCTAACGTATCGCAAAAATCTAATTCGCCACTGCCCGGAAAACATAATTTTCCGGCAGCCGAAGGTTGGTTTCCTTGGACTTGAACTCTTCTCGTTTCGTTTACGAACTTTTATCGTGTCCCAACGATAGGGATATTATAAATATGATTTTGATTTTCGAATATCAATGACTAAAGTTATCGAACGTGTGGCCAGAGTAACTGATAATTGTAAATTCTCTTCGACACGTCCCGAAAATTTGGAGCAGGAAACAAAGACGCGTAACGAGTCAGAAGACAAAATATACTCGATGAGAGAGAAAGAGTTATTTTATTTTCTGAATCGTATTCAAAGGGTTAACAATGTCGGGCGATAGAAACTCCGTGTTCAGTTAAAAGTATCTAGTTCCTTATTTTCTCTTTTCTTGCAAGCGTACTTCTGCGCTGCATTATTCGAGGTGTGAACCAGCGTGTTAATTGGATTGGAATATAGAAGCGGAGCTGTACAAGGTGATTCACAGATGTTTTTCGCTCTGATATTTCTGCGATTGGGAACTGAATATAATTACGAGAGGAGTCGTTGAATGTAAGTTCGAATATCCCTGTTATCGAATAATCTCTCTATTTGCAAAAGAGAGAAATTCCCCCGAATTTTTCTTCTAATCTAGTTTCAACGATTTCTCGATTGTCGATACGTAACGCAAATAATTGCTGAATCGCTCTGTAACCCTTTCGACTTTTACAGACGTTTTTTTTTTTGACGAAGTACGTAGCGAGGAGAGACTCGAGTCGAGTTAGTTTTAATTATCTTCTTTATAAGATAGAGTCGACAGATTTTTGCTCCATTTACGAGCATGTCATTTTCATTTTCTACTTTCCTTTTATTTGCGTTTGGCAAATCGTAGAAAAAAACGTCAGCCAGTCAAGGAAAACGCAACTAAAAAGACTATGTGTGTATCTGTAAGTGTAAAATTCAAATTTTTGTTGAAACTACGGCAGAGACACTATACTCGCGAAGCAACGTTCGATTCGTTTCAAATATTTAATCATTTATTCCCGACACGCTCAATGATCTTAGAACCGAACGATTTGCCTGACATAAAAATGAGATGCTTGGGATTGTCGCACGATCTGGCCTTGAAGCGAATTTCCTATGCGCTCGATTCCAGATCGGCGTTGCCTGCAGCTGTTTTTGCACGGCTATACGTCGACGGGAATAATTGGCGCGATTCATGACCAGCGCAAGAAACTCTACCGTTCGTGATTAATTCCTCCGCGGACCTCCGTGGTAAATCACGTGTTTGCGCGCGTCGCGCATACAGAAATTGGTCTCTCTTTGCTTTGTCACGTAACAGCGTGAAAAAATAGATCGTTCTAGTTATTAAAAGCGCGCGTTGCCACAGTCGGATCGCGCGCCGGTGAACGTACGATGAAAAACGTACGAGAGAGACTTATTGCAGAGCAGGCTCCTCTACAGAACTGTTGAAGCTAATTGCGGGTACAACGGTCGTTTTCTAATCACTTCCCACCACAATAAATCCGTAATTTCTTTTTTTTTTTTTCATTATGTATTTTTCTTTAAATTTTACTCTCGGTGGTATTTTCTCGCAAGATACCTATTCCGATTTATCAGAGTTTCTTGCGGCGTCACTCGCACTTTCAGCGTCACTAATAGTAAAAAACAATTACAGATTTATTTTTAATAGCAAGTAATTTTTGAGCCTGTGCTAGTATATAAAGCTATAGCTAGTATCGAAATAAACTCGTAAAATATCGCGAATCGTTAGTCACGGGATCTGAGGACACTGAATATTAATTCAAGTATCGTATTTTGTACATTTCCACAAACACGCGAGAAAGAAAAATATCGTATCGAGAGGAAATGGATGCAAGTCTTTCTCTCGATGACCTGTCAGCAGACACACCTTGCAGTTGGGAGTCATCGCGCGTATTTGTAGAACGTGACTAGCGATTGTAGTGCCATTTGTCGATAACAAGTTACCCTAATGACGCCATTGTGCGTAACGGCTGTGTTGCACCTGTGTGTATATTTTCACAGCGGTCGCGTGTGCGCGAGCAGATTTTTCAAAGAACTTTCTCCTCGATTGCGATTTTTGCGCAACACGCGGATGGCACTGCAGATTCCGCGAAAAGTTCGCAACTCGGCGTAAACAGCCTTGGTGGAATGCCGGTTAAGCAAAGTTGCACGACAGAAGGAGAACACAGGAAATGTTCGAGATGTCTTTCCACTTGTTAAAATTCCGATGAAAATTTCTCGAAACCGTATCGATCGTTTTATCAATGAAGCCGTGAAGAACGGATGTTTGTCCATTAAACGCGCGGGAAATTTTCTACCGTCCTTAACAACCTCTTGCCACGCACGTCGAGAATTTTTTTTTGTCCCAAATTGCAACATTTTCTCAGTTTTAAATATATTTTAGTATTATAATCCCAGGTAAAAGAAATTTCTAATCCAGCGATATTATACCGACGAGTTCGGAAAGGAACGGAAAGCGACGAATTATTGTATACGGTTCGGTCACTCGTT